ATGATAAAGAGACTGCACTACAGTACTCGTATTAAGTTAATTGAAAAATACTATTTCTTTTGTTTTTTTACAGTGCAAATACTTGTAATCAAAAATAAATATTAAGTGAGCACTGAACACTCTGTATTCTGTGTTGTAATTGAAATCAGTATATTTGAAAATGTAGAAAACATCCAAAAATATTTAAATAAATGGTATTCTGTTATTGTTTAACAGTGTGATTAATTGCAATTAATTTTTTTAGTCGCTTGACAGCCCTAAAAGAAACCTATGTCCCTCTCCTTTGAGGGGTTTAGATTGCACCCCACAAGGACCAAGCTGGCTTCCGTGAGTTGCCTTAGACATAACCCAATGTTAGAGATCTGTGGAGCAGCCACTTTGTTTTTATTCTTTTACAAAACACTATTCTCTATATCTGGTATCCACATTGGATGCTCAGTTTGGTACGGCAATATTACAGTTGTTATTTAATTAGGACTCCGTGCCCCACTTTATGCAGGCAGGAGTGCTGCTTATGAAACTATGCCATGAGTGGGAATGTGCAGAAGCTTCTCCAAGAAGAAGTGAAGGTTACTGTCCTGTAACCGGAATTTTTCAAGATGGATTATGCACATTGATGGTCCCTGCCCTCATTTCCTTCTCTCTCAGTCCTACTTCAACTTTGGACATGAAGTGGTGGAAGGAACTGAGGTGGGTGGAGTGCCATGCCCACTTATATAGCCTCACCCTCAGGAGGTGAGCAGGAGCAGAAAGAGGGACGTAGGAGTGTGAGAGTGCTTCAACGCACACTCCTTCAAATAGATTCCACAGTCAGAGCTGCACCATCTGTGCATCCCATGAGTGGGAATGTGCAGAATCCATCTCGAAGAACTGCAGTGGCAGGTGAGTAACCTTCATTTCTGTCTTTTAGAGCTTCTTTTTGTATACTAATTGTTATGCTGATTTAGGGAGTTTATTCATACATCCTAATATTTTTCTGTCAAGATGCACGCTAGCATGTTGAGTAGCATCATCATGCTCTCCTCTGAAAGCCACCTGTGCTTGCCTCTATTCTCTCTGTAAGAACAGATTGTGAGAAGAGTAACAACTGCAATCTTTGTCTTAGATAAGTGAATGTGAACAAATGTATTTGATTATCCATTTTTAGGCTCAATATTTCAAGTTGCTGAGTACTCCGGCCCTCATCAAGCAAAGCACATAAGCATGAGTTAAGGTTTAATCATATGGTTACGTTCTTTTCTGTATAAGGGCCACAGTACCTAATTCCTTGCATGATCAGGACATACGTCATTATTCATAAAACAGTAAAAAAAAAAAAAAAAAAAAAAAAAAATCTTGAATGTTAAGTCTATTTTACCTGAATTGTCTGTGGCATCCTCCATTGTAGGATGCTTTCCTGTATATTGTACAGTTGCTGCAGGATCAATGTCCTCAAACGTAGTTTTTCATAGGCAGCTATGACTGAGGACTGGGAAAGCTCCAAACGAGCCCTCTTGCCCAGCTGCAAAGAACACCTCTTGCATATTCTTAATTTCAGTTAAGACTTTTCATTGTTTTATAATAACAACCTGAAGTGTAACATCTGTAATAACCCTGTTCAAATTGGCCACTCCAATATGTACTATATGATTAGATTAATTATACTATTAACTATTGAACTTTGTCAGCCTGTTTGGTTCTTTCTTACACTGATCAGACTGATATACTGTAGTGTAAGCAAAGGCAGACTCCATAAGCAGAAGCAGGGTCCATAATCTGCTTCTGTCTCCAAATACTTGATTCTGGTCTACAAGTCCTATAGTGCTGCAGACATCATTCTTTCCTACTTCGTTTTCAGTTATATTGAACTTCCCTCGTAGGTCAGAGATGTCCTTTTTTATAAACAGCAGTGTGGACTGAATATTGGTTCTATGTCCCTTGAGTTCTGTGAGAATCTCTGGCATGTCAACTTTTATAGCAAGAAGGATCTTTTCTCTCTCTGTTTAGGTGGTGTTTCCTTCAAGAAGCTGAGAGAAATCCTCCTGAGTACAAATGGCTTTATGGAATAGTTGTGATGGCTTGGATTTCTTTTTTGGGGTGGTCGTTAAATTCTTCCCAAATGATTTTTAGGTTTAGATGGTGAATTTGGAAGGAGAATGATTCTGTATCTGCCCAACTGGAGTTGAGATATAAGGCATCCCCAGCAAGAATGCCCTAATGGTTATCTGTTAATTATATTTATAACCTTACATACTTGGCCATTTTGTTTTGGTCCTTATGAATTACCCTTTTGACTGTTCTTTAACCCTTACATTCTATTTCTTTCATTACTCTCTTTATTTCTTTCATTTTAAAATAAATAGCCCTTTTATTTTCTTCTCCCCCTTTAGCTACAGTTCAGGTGGCCCACCCCTTTGTGGAGCCCACTAACCTCCCCTTCCTCTCATTCAGGCCTGCTGCCTCTACACTTTGGTCTGCATTTGATATAATTACCTCCACTCCAGAAAACTATTTTTAAAACAACTGCCAATAAGTGAGAGAGATTCCAACATATTCTGTTCTGAAATATTGTATACTTGAAATACTTGGTAGAGAGCAAATTTGATTAAACAGCACCTTTTTTTTTTTTTAATCATCATGGCTGCTTCCCCAATAAGGGTAAAAAAATTTCCCACAGCTCAATCTAATTTATTGGCATTTATAAAGCATTAATCCATATAATATCTCATGTCTGTATATGGATTAAAAAGAAATTGAGAGATACCTGGTAGGGACAGCTGGGTCATTGTCCTACTCTGCTTATAATGAATATTACCTCCATCATGGACTGAATGGTTTCTTTAATTTGAGGTTTGGGTGTACCCATCTCAGCAGGGTGACAGATAATGGTTCAGCCTTGGAGGTTGAAAGAACCAGGGAGTTTCAAAGCAGACTTGAAGTTTCTGTGTTGATGGTTTGCCTGCTTAGTACCATGGCGCAAACACCAATAAAAATCCTTAAATCTTTTTTATAAAAGATACACAGAAGGGAAAAAACAGCTAAAGCATTTGAAATATAAAGTATTAAATTAGGCTTTCATTGTAACATCCCATGTTCCCTTTCCCTTTAGCTGCAGAGTTTTTAGAATAAAAAACCCTATGTTTAACAGTCTCTTGGATGGTATTAAAGGTAACTGTCCTTTTTGATGAAAAGACAAGAAGTTAGTTGAGATGGGCTGGAGCTGTCATTGTTAAAGTCCTATCCCATTTCCGAAGAAGACAAAACAAGCACACGCAAAAGGGGAGAGAAAAGAATAGCAAAGAGAAAATACAGCTTCTGTCTCTGATGTTGATTTTCACTTGCAGCCTCACTGGGGGAAAAAAAAACAGATGCAGCACATGGTCTGATCAACCACTCTGAGACCTGGCAAACTTTACCAGCAATGAAGTGTTTAGAATATTGCTTTTAGTTGCCTTTTTGGTCATGACTCATACCAGTATTACAGAATATGCAGTCTTGAATGGCTGAGTCAGACTCTCACTAGACAAAAGGAAAAAGGAGAGGGATATAAGAGAAGAAATAAGTGGGGAAGGAAAAGAACACACAAAGGTGTTTCAGTGTCACTCACTCTCTCATCCCTGGTGGTATTCAGGATTTAGCCAAAGCTGGTGGAGGTGGCAGTGTCATCTGTCTCCATCTCTCTGGCCAGGTCTGGTCAGGGCATCTTTCAGGATTTTGATGACGGAGGTCTGGATTCCCAGGAGACTGGGTGTGGCAGCCGTTATGGTGAAGCTTGCTCCTTCCTCTTCTCTTGCCTTTCCATCAGCCAGCATAGTGTTGGCCTCCATCTGTTCATCCGTATTTTTCCCCCCATTTTTTTTTTAAGGGAGTGGTAGGCAGAATAGTCCATCCTCTCATTATTTTGTCCTCCAATAAGACCACTTTCCAACACACCAATTTTGGTTAATAAATTTTTGTTCTCACACTGTTCTTGTTTACCAGATATAATCTTTACGCAGTCCTTGAATTATATCTGTAGGCCTTTTTGTTTGTACTAATACAGTCTCTCTCTCTCTCCCTTTTGGAACTTTTCCCATCATTGTTTATTATTATAGGCTATTTTGACACTTTATGAACGTTCACACACTTTTTATAGTTGAGCTCACAATTAGGGTAAATTTGTAGACCCAATTATCACAGCAGATGGGACCTGTAGAACCACCCAAGACCAGTAGGTGGTGCTGCAACATGGGTGTTTCCATCCACAACTTCCCGGACTACAGTGAAGCTCCCTGGTCCTCTCTCATGTGACCAGTTTGCATGCAGTATGTGGCCTGCCCCTGCATCAGTTCCTTTGGTCTCTCTGCAGGCAGTGAATCATAGGACTGGGTCAAACCTGGTGGCTTTGCAGCCTTAAGCTTCTCTCCCCACCTTGGAATCATCCAGCACCTCCAGTTCTCAAGTTCATCTCAGGAATGGAGATCTGAGCAGGGGTCTCTGGCTGAACAAAACTAGATTGATTCCTCTCCATTGCTTCCAGGCTTTCAGGCTCCTCTTCAGAAAAGGAGCCTGAACACTCATAGAAGTATCTGGACCAAAAAAGAGAGTCAAGCAACCAGATAGATCTTTGTAGATCATATTTTGGAAACAGATGAAGTAGACTAAGTCAAGACATTAAGATTGACAGCTACTTATGGAACTTTGAAATAATGGAAGAAAAGAGATGGAGTAATTGAGGAGTGGAGTAGAGTGACACGCTCTCTTTAGGATGATAAAAACAGCATACTTAAATACAGAGGGGATGGAGTGAAACTGATAAGTTGGTGGGTTTGAGGATGACAAGTTGAGATATCAGTGTTGAACACAAGGATAAAAGAGGACAAAATCACAGTGTGGGTATGGTGGAGAAAGTAAAGACAGACCCATAAATATTGTGGTATTATAAGGAGCTAGTAAATTATCACTAGACTAATGGGGATGAAGGGAAAATTGTGTTTAACAAGGTTCAAGTCAAAGAGTATTATTTTTTTCTTTTTCTCTAGTGATGCTATTGCTGAGATTAGAGCCGTTTGTATTGAGGAAATTGGAGTGTGGATGAAAATGTACAGTGATGCCTTCCTGAATGATAGTTATTTAAAATATGTCGGTTGGACACTACATGACAGGGTAAGTAGTATTTTCCGGAGTATGACACCAGGAAAAATGCACGTTTCCTTTTCCTGTTCAATATATCACATTTTGATTATTTTTCTTCCTTTCATTTATTTCTTGACCGATATATTTCTGTAGACATCATCTTCGTTTGTGTAGCTTAAAATCATCAGTGTTAGATGTCCAGGTCTAGGCTGGTGAGCCAATTGATTGCTTCAAGTGACATGGAGTGGATGTCAGAGAAACTACTAAAATATGATTGTTTGGGACATTGGTTGACATGATGTCGGCTAGTTTGAAGTTCATTTCCATACTCACAAATAGGTTTGGATCTAAGTTTCCATTTATGGAGGAGGTTAGGTGCTTCTGCCATGTGATGTGTGGGTTTACAGTGGACCTTATTTTCCATGGAAGTGAAAAGCCACTGGGTTCTTCAGTTGAATCCTTGATGAGGTGTTTGTTCTCGATGTTGCCGTCTTCCTCCTTGCTTGCCACTGATTTTCGTGGGGGGGAAACCCTGAGTCTTTGAGCTCTTGCACTGCAAGCCAAAAAGGTTTTCTGGATTTAAGTCAGAGTTTTCAGATATTATTTAGGTCTTCCTGTATTGGGAGATCCTTGTTCCCTCAAATATGATGGGGCTTCTGAAGGATTCCTGTGTTGCAACAAATTTGGGGTGAATGAATGTACACCAGTACAGGAAGCTATGGTTGTGGCTTTGATTTTTACTGTGCCTGTAATGATATGCATGACTGTGTTAAGTTGAGAGTTGACAAGTGATGTGAGGGAGCTATGTGCCCAGCTGGGTGAGCAGTATTCTGCAGTATAGTAGACAAGGGCCACTTTAGAGGTCCGTAGAGTTTTTTTGCATCAGCTCCACCGGTTGTTCCTGCCCATTTTTGGATGAGATTTACACGCATCTTTATTTTGTCATGGATATTTTTCAGGTACTAGTGATTTTTGTGAGGTTTTGGTCTATGGTTACACCAAAATATTTTGGGATAGGATCGTATCTTATCTGCTGGCCACAAAAGTCCAAGTGCGATTCTGGTCTAACTGTTTGATTGTTTAGATTAAATGCTGATACAACTATCTTAGTGGGGTTTGGTTTTAGTCAGAGCAATGTCATCAGAGGAGACAAATTTCGGTGATGATGTTTGAGGATGGTTGCTGGTATAGATATTAAACAGAATTGGTGATAGGACTGATCCCTGTGGTAGACCATCATTGACAGTGCATGGCTTGCTGACCTGGTCACTAAGGAAAACATGAAATCTATGATTAGTCAGCACTTCTCAGAAGAATTTTATCATTGCATTGCATGGAATAATTTTGCTGGCTTTTAGAAAGAGGCAATAATATCCCTCATACCATGTTGTATGCCTCATATAAGTCTAAGAAAGCTGCCTCAGTCGTGAGTTTTCACTGGAATTCCACCATTGTGTGGTGTTAAGGCTAATACTTGGTTAGTACAGCTGAGGCCTGTTTATATACCTGCTTGTTTGGTTTGTAGCATTGCTTTTACAGGCGGTATGATCCTTGCCAGTAATATTCTCTCTCTAAGCTTGAATGACAAGCAGAGGAGTGAGAGAGGCTGGTACTATGAAGGATTACTAGTTAGCTTCACACCGGATTCTCAGGACAAACCCCGAGGAATGGATATTGGAGAATGGTCTTGCCAGCCATCTTTTGTACTTAGCTCTGAAGCTGTTAACAAATTCTGGCAAAACACTATCAGGTCCTGCAGCTTTCATGAGTGAAAGGGTCTTATTGACCTCCTCAACAGTGAAGGGCAGTGATAGCAAGGAGGAGGCAAGTGGTAAGATGACTATTTGTCAGCGTATTCTGCGCACATTGCACTCAATAAACTTGTCCTGTGGTGCTTTTTATGTGCATAAGAAGTATTCCTGCAGTCACATCAGCTGAGACTTGTGTTTCGATGTTTCACTGGCTTTGCAGGCCCATGCTGGTGCAATAATATCCAAGCTTAGCAACTGGAGTGAGTAAAGTACAGAGCTTCAACCATCTCAATCCATCCTTGGCAGTGCACTAACTTCAATGACTATAGTAAGGATGTTGAGTATTTACATCAGACGACACTTGGCACTCCTTTCTGTTTCTTTCTTTCCACAAGAAGGTATATCCTTCTTTTTTCTTGTACCTATTTAGATGATCTGGGTGAAACAATCAAAATTTTCAGGTGTTGTTGGAATCACATAGATGGTAGATTCAGTTGTCACAGAGAATCCTGAACAGTTTGGCTTTTGCAGTTTCCATTGTGATTTAGGCAATGACATGATTACTGGGAGTCCAATCCCAATATGGATTATCACCAGTTGATGCTGACTGCATGGAAAATTGCCAAGAATATTTTTCTGACGGATTCTGAACTAGTCTTTGATGAGGAAATCTAGATCTAGGTTGTAGTGAGTTTCAACGGGAAGAATGAAAAGTGCGCCTCCCTTCTCACATTTATCTCCAGACGACTTCTCCTTGTCCAGATCTGTTCTGCCCCCAACAATCTTCTATTCATTGAACTTTTTGAAACTTTGCACTTTTAGAGAGAGGTAAGGGATTGACTCTGTGTACACATATTTGCAGAGGGACAATAGGGTTGAGGTCTGTTTTTTCTCACCTCTATATATTATATATTGAAAACATTTTTACTGTTAACAAGCAGGTTATCTCGGGAGACACAAATCCACAGTTTGAAAACTGCAAAACTAAGCATCTCTGATGCTATCTTCTAGACTGACCATTGAGTCCCATTGGGTAGATAGAAAGATTAACCTAAATAATCTATACAGAAATCCCTGGAACCCCATAAAATTGGATCTGTAGCACGCGAAGACTCACTGACACGGCGCCTTCTGCTGGTTGTCCTGGGAATTAGCTCTCCAGCTCTGGAGCGCCCTCTGCTGGCCGATGTCCGGCTTGCCTCAGGCCCTAGTGTCCCTCCCAGATCCCGGTGCCCCTTTACCTTGGGTGCTGCCCCCTGGCAGTACCCCCACTCTCTGGATCTCCCCACCCAGGGGAACCCCCAACTCACCTCAGTGGCTACTGCCAGTCACCATCTAGCCCCCGCTCACTGGAGTAGACTGTAGTCCATACCACTCATCATCGGCAAGGGGGGTTTGGACCTGCTGCCTTTGCCTACCCTAGGCTGCACCTCTGCAACCCTGGTACCCTTCCCAGCCTTTACCAAGGCCTGCAGCCTGGGGGTTTTCCAGTCGGGAGCTCCCCAGCTCCTCTGGACTTTCCCCAGCCCTGCTCCACTCTAGGTACCCTGCTGAGCTCCCAAGCAGCCAGGCCTGTCTCTCTCCACAGCTAGAGAGAGACTGCCTGAGCTCCTGGCCCACAGCCTTTTATAGGGCCAGCTGTGGCCTGATTGGGGCGTGGCCCCAGCTGTGGCTGTTTCCCCAATCAGCCTAGGTTTTTGGCTCGCAGCCCCAGCCCTCTCCCAGGGCTGGCTGTAACCCTTTCAGGGCCGGAGCGGGTGACCACCCAGCTACAGGGTCCCTAATCCATGAAGTATTGGAACTCATTTACAAACTTTTCTTAAACATTACATGAATATATTGTCTAAAACCAAGTCTGCAAGACACAGGTCTCCAGGAGATCCCTCCCAGTCTTCAGCCTCCTCAGTTTTGATGCATTTGTCAGGAGCACAGAACCAATTTCACTGTATACTTTACCTTCCTTTAGGGCCACCAGGCCCACTACCAAACAGTTTGAAAGCAGATCGTGCAGAATGGCTACTGCATCCTTTTCAACTCTAGGCTGCCTCTAAATCCTGCTTCCACATCTCTTCAGGGATCCTTTTGATGAGATATTACTTGTAGGTGAATTCTCTTCTACAGAGGGATTCATAGAAGAGGTTCAGAGTCAGTACCAAAGGAAAAGCTTCTACAGCAGGCACTTCCTCATCCGAAAGAACCTCTCCCTCATACTATCTTGTGGAAACTGAAAAGTTTCATCAAAAGATAAATTCTGCCTGCTGTCTTTGGGAAACATCACCCCCATCCTCCCGCCCTGTGACTCTCAGTTCTTTCACCCTAAAGGACATGTACTTTCATGTACTAATACAGCCATTTAGTGTGAGCAACAGACACTTTCAATACAAGGTCCTGCCATTTGGACTGTCAACAGCACACACAGTTTTCACCAAGTGCTTGGCAATGATGGCTGTCCACTTAAGATGAAAAATCAATTTCTACCCTTACTCGGACAACTGGATGATAAGAACTAGATCCAACAACCTACTCAGGTTATCAATTCAAACAGCCTGCAGTATCTTCAGATCAGCTGGGAAAAGTTTTCCCTGGTCTCCACACAGCAGATATCCTTTCTAGATGCAGTTCTGGATTCCATACAAGTCAAAGGAGAGGTCTGCAGCAATCTCGCCAAAAATCAAAATGTCATCTCTTAGGCTTGTCTCAGGAGGAGACCTCTCCAAGATTTGATGGTCCAGAATTGCAATAACCTACCTTATGCTTTCTATACCTTGAAAGATCCTGAGACAGATCAATTGGTGGAACTGCATAGAAATCACATTAAAAGAGATTGTTTAATTTCTCAAGGTTCCTGTGCAATAGTAATCACAGAAACATCCAAGCTAAAGTGCACCCTACCAAAGACTGACAATACCAGGCTCTCATGAGTAGAAGTATGCAAAAGCTCACCAAAAGGAAAGAGGTTACTTAATAGTAACTGTAGTTCTTCAAGGGTTGCTTCTGTATACTTCCACTTCCTGCCCATCCACCCCTCTTCCATCTTGGATTTATGGAGTTCAGGAGAAAAGAACTGAGGTAGTTAGGATTCTGACCACATTTATATAGTCTCAGTCTCTGAATGTTCATCCAGGTGCTAGTTTGAGCAGCCCTTGAGGTGCAGCAATGAGCACAACATAGGCAGACACAAAAATCAAGCCCTGTCTTTTTTATGAGGTTTCAGTGACTTGTATTATTTTCCTGGGGTGCCCTATGCCTTAAAGTTGCAAAAAGGGAACAAAGAGGACCCAGGGAATTAGAGACCAGTCAGCATAACTTTGATACCTGGAAAGATATGGGAACAAATTATTAAACAATTAGTTTGTAAATACCTGGAGAATAACAGGGTTATAAGAAATGTCCATCATTGATTTGTCAAGAAGAAATCATGCCAGACCAACAGAATTTCCTTCTTTGGGTCACTGACCTAGTGGATGGGGGAGGGGAGGAGAAAGCAGTAGATGTGATATATCTTGATTTTTAGTAAGGCTTTTGGGAGAGTCCCATGTGGCATTCTCATAAGCAAACTAGGGAAATGTGGTCTAGACAGAATTACTAAAAGGTGGGAGCACAATTGGTTGAAAGACATACTCAGAGTAGTTATCAATAGTTCACTGTCAAACTGGGAGGGTGTATCTAGTGGGGCTGCCTGGGGCAGTTCTGGGTCTGGTATTATTTAATATTTTCATTAATGACCTGGATAATGGAGTGGAGAGTGTGCTTATAATTTATAGAAAACACCAAAATGGGCGGAATTACAAGCACTTTGGAGGACAGGATTAGAATTCAAAATTACTTGACAAATCGAAGTATTGGTCTGAATTAAACAAGATGAAATTTAATGAAGACAAGTGCACAAACACGAAATGGGGAATAACTGGCTAGGTGATAGTACTTCTGATAAGGATCTGGGGGTTCTAGTGGATCACAAATCGAATGAGTCACCAGTGTGATGTAGCTGCGAAAAAGGCTAATATTCTGGGGTGTATTAACAGGGGTGTTGTAAGACATGGGAGGTAATTGTCCTGCTCTACTCAGTACTGGTGAGGCCTCAGCTGGAGTACTATGTCCAATTCTGGACACCCCACTTTAGGAAAGATAAGGAAAAATTGGAGCGAGTCCAGAGGAGAGTAACACAGGTGATAAAAGGTTTAGAAAACCAGGAAAGGTTAAAAAGCTGGGCACATTTAGTCTTGAGAAAAGAAGACTGAGGGAGAACATGATAGCAGTCATTTAACATGTTATAAAGAGGACAGTGATCAATTGTCCCCCATGTCCACTAAAGGTAGTACAAGAAGTAATGGGCTTAATTTACAGCAAGGGAAATTAAGGTTAGATATTAGGATAAACTTTCTAACTTAAAGGGTAGTTAAGATCTGGAATAGGTTTTCAAAGGGAGGTTGTTGGAATCCCCATCATTGGAGCTTTTTAAAAATAGGTTGGAGAAATACCTGTTAGTTATGGTCTAAGTTTACTTGGTCCTGCCACAGCTCAGGGGACTGGACTTGACTTCTGGAGGTCCCTTCCAGCCCTACGTTTCTATGATTCTTTGATTCTATGATATTTTTACTTAGATACACTGCTTTGACACTGTATTGTGAATTTTTAAGTAGTAAATTCCCAATTATAACCTTTTCATTGCCTACACATGGTATTTTTCACCAGGGACTCTTAGAGCTTATAAATCTGTGCGGATAACTTTTTTGTGAGAATGTGGTGCATTTGATTAACTGTAGTTTGTTTCCTGATGATTGATAGGTTCACTAGATTGGCACTTATCTACCCACCATCTCCTCAGAGTTAGAGATGATGGGTTTTTCTTTTTTTATATTTCTTAGCTTTGTGTATCATACAGTGTGTGAAAAGGCATTGAGAAGAGATAGGTACTTGTGGAAATTTTGCACAAGCTGACCAGTGCCCCTTGCTAATGGCTGTTCTCCAAGATCACAACATGGAGCAAAGTCAAATCCAGCCTTTCATCTTGTAAAGATAAAAAATTCACTAGGGGGTCAATCTTTTGCATATTCAATGTACATCTTCAGAAGACACTGTTAGAGACGGAAAGAAGGAGCAGGAGGACCCAGAGGCGGATTGAGTAAACGGACTTCTTTATTGCGGTAATTGTTCACCTCGACCCAATTGTCAAGTAAGCCCCGAATTAATCACATCACACTCTTTTATCTAAGTTAATATGTAAATACCCACATTTATTACAACACCCCAAAACTCTTATTTAATAATATGAACGCCCATATAATGAATATTAATAGCTATATACTGAATATAATTATACCCGCCCCTGTTTACTGTTTGCAGCATTAAGCATATTATACAGACATTTTTACCTTGAAGATACATTTCTTTGCAGTAATTGTAGCCACAAGTTCCCTTAACCAGCAATTCACAGGGGAGGGAGGAAGGGGCCATGACCCCGAGCTCGTGTATGTAACTGGGAGAGGAAGGGGGAGGGGGTGTTGAGGATAACACTTCTTCACATAAAGGGTATCCTTCAGACAACCATATTCCTTATGCAGCTGCAATGCTTATCTATTCTTAACAAGCAGAAGGGAAGGGAAAAGGATGGCAACTTTATCTATCAAGCGAAGAAATAGTGCTTGCCTGTGCCTTACTCCCTATTACCATGATAGCTGTTACCCAGGTCTTTACTTAATCCTTACATACCCCAACAGACACGAGTTTCAAATAATTCTTAGATTTTTTTCCCTGGTTTTCATTTTTATTTTGGTTTTGTTTGTTTGTTTGTTTGTTTTCAACATCAACTGAAAGAACCTTTAGAAGCCAGCTTTGGACTCAGTCCTGCCTCCACGAACTTCAGTGGTGCAGGTTGGGTCTTTTCTGTATACAGAAGCAGAAGAAGTATAACACTTGTTTTTGTAGAACATTCCCTATTATTTTTGTACATTTTAATTTAACTGTTAGATTGTTTAATGAGGTTGTTTTTGGTAACTTATTTACATAGAATTTTAAATGTACAACAAAACTAGAGATTACTAGATGGATGCTACTTAATCTTCATGTGCATTTCATTAGGATATTTTGGCTAATCTTAGTGTGTTTTTCTTTAGCAAGGTGAAGTGAGGTTGAAGTGTTTGAAAGCTCTGCAGAGTCTGTACACCAACAGGGAGTTGTTCCCTAAACTGGAGCTATTTACTAACAGATTCAAGGTAAGAGTGAAAAGAGGAAATGTGATTTTTGAAAAGACTGTAAAACGGTAGAATTGTCTCTCATCTATCTAGTTGTTTCACATCTCTTAAATCATGTGCATTAAATTATGTGAAGGAGACTCACCTGCTTCTGCCACTGATCAAGTACTTTTCATGGGGACTATCCAGCTACAGTGGTGAAACGATCATGTTTGCTGTTTTCAGTAGGAAAAGGGCTCTTGGTCTTTTAAATTAAAGAAATATGACTCATTTCAGAAGCAGAAGTATTCCTGAATGGAATTTATGAGGGTGATACCAGCACATTTATTTTTGAAGTTATTTATCAAATATCCATCACTAGATCTGGGCATGATTCTTACTTTCCCACTGTCCACTTGTCCTCTCACATTACCGAATAATCCTATGATTTTTATATTTTAATCTCAGTGAATTTTAGGGCTCATGAAGGTTTTCCCATGTACTATAATATTTACTTTCATATATAAAATTTGTATATATATATATATATATACACACACACACACACACAGTGTGTATATATTTATATATAAACAAAATATTTACTTTCTAATATATAATATAATTAATATATAATAATATGGAATGGGATGCTGTAAAGATAACTCTTTAATGACAGTGTGTGAGAGCATGAATGACCAACTGACCGACCTCAGGGCACACCCCAGTGATGCGATATCTACATCTCATTATAATTGAAATTAACATGCAGTATGTTAATCACTAATGTAAAATGTTCATCCAAGGGTACGTCTCTGGAATGATTCCACACTATTCTTTGAAAGGACAACCAAATAGGTTGTTTCTGACTGGGTGATGGAATTGCTGGGATTTACCATGTACCTTATTTAGTTATTAGTTATTATAAAGAGTGTCTGTTTGTAGGCAGATGGGCTAATTTAATAAAATGTCATGAAAAAATAGTTTAAATTAAAAATAACTTTTCTGTAGTGCCCTCCAGAAAACAATTCAAGGCAGAGCCACACTGTAACCAGCACAAGATAGCATACTATATGGCAGCTGGGGAGGGGAGTGGGAAAGAAGTAGAGCACATCAGGCGACATAGGCCTAAGCCTGTATGTGCCTGTGGTGTTAAGACCCTTTGGAATAATCTGGCTAAAGTGATAACCATTGACACATTTTTAATTTTTTGGGTACAAAGTCCTTCTGGAACACCCAAAGCATTAATAAATTAACTATGGGAAACACACACACACAGACACACACACACACACAGACACACACACACACACACACCTCTCTCTCTCTCCCCCCCCCACCCGAACTGCTAGCAATTGATAGCCTGCTTGGCGGCTGCCGCACAGGGAACTTAGGGGAGCGAGGAGCTGATTGGGGGGCTGCCAGTCCATCCTGGTTCCAAGCCCCCACCAGCTAGCTCCAATGGGCTGCTCTTTCTGCAAGCAGTGGACAAAGCAGGCAGCTGCCAAACGTTATAAGGGAGCATTGCACAACTTTGAATGAGCATGTTCTCTAATTGATCAGCAACGTAACAACGTTAACCGGGACGACTTTAAGTAAGGAGTTACTGTACTTGATATTAGACCTCTTTGAACAAACCTGAACAACACATTCAGGAAATTCTGCTCCAGGGCAGATTGCAGTCCGGGCTCCATAACAGCTGCTTTTCTTCTTCCTTGGTCAAGTCATCTGCTGTATGCATTCCATTCAGTCCCCGTAATTCCAAGTAATCTGAACATAGACAAGGCAACCATGAACCTCATAGCACCTGCCTGACTAAGGCATCTTGGACCTGTATTAGCTCTCAATTCAACCACCCTTAGCTTGATCACTGGTGAAGGATCTCTTGTCTCAAAACCAAGGGCAAATCCCTGCACCCCAACCTGCAAACTTTGCATCTCACTGCTTGCATAACCTCTGTCTAAGTAACACAGGGGGGAAAGTCTGTTTTTAGGATGTCCAGGCTATTTTGGGAAACAGCAGAAAGGACTCCATGAGCCACCTATTCAGCGAAATGGAAAATGTTTTAGTCTGTGCTGAATCACATCAGTTATCAGCTGGTTACACACAGATCAGACAAATATTGGGCTACCTATGACATTTGAAATCTTCTGGTTTCTCAGTTAGTTCAGTAAGAGTCCATTTAGGAACCATTTCTGCTTACATCCACCTGTCAGTGGATTTTCAATCTCTTTACATCCTTTGATAACTAGATTTCTAAAGGGATTTATACATGTTTATCCTCCTGTGTCCAATGCAGTGCCCTCATGGGATCTGAATTGAGTATTGTCATGCTTAATGAGTTTCCCTTTTGAAGCTTTGGCAACAGCATCCTTACTGTTGCTATCAATTAAAAGAGTGTTTCTGGTAGCAGTTACTTCTGTGAGGAGGGTATCAAAGCCTCAGGCACTACTAGCTGACCCTCCTTTCACACTATTCAACAGGGACAAGGTCTCTTTCAGGCTACACCCTAAATTTATGCCTAAGGTTGTTTCTGCATTCCATCTCAATTGGAGATGTTTCCAAAGCTTCAGTGTAGTAAGGATGAGATAAAGCTTCATGTGCTGGATATTCGGAGGGCTCTGTCCTTTTATCTAGACCATACAAAATCTTTCAGATCTTCTCCTAGACTTTTTGTAGCCTATGCTGAAAGGTTTAAAGGACAACCTGTTACAGATCAGTGTATAGCCCACAGGATTTCTGACTGTATCAAGCTCTGCTATGATCTAGCTAAGGTCTTTCCTCCTCAAAGGATAACAGTCCATTACACTAGGTTGATTCCCCTTCGTCAACCTTTTTGAGCAACATACCTATAATGGAAATTTGTAAAACAGCAATGTGGTTATCTTCATGTAACTGTCTCCAGACACTATGCAATTATTCAACCTTCCGAAGCTAATGCGAGCTTCAGCAAGTCAGTCTTGCAGACTCTCTTCAGGTAATTTGAAGTCCCACTACTTGTAAGAAAATTGCTGTTGAGTCACCTACAGTGGAATGTATGTGTGTACAGTCACTCGAAGAATTAAAAAGTGGTTACTTACCAGGGTACAATCCAGACCAGTCGGGGGCTGTCTCACCCCTCCCCTGCAACCTTGGGTACCTTATAATGGCTTCCTGAAGTAGCTCCCAGTGTGGCCACTCACAGACAGCCTTCCAGCATGCAAGCCACACCCTGAGTGTCTGTGTGTAACTGCAAGCCTGCCAGCCACACTGGGATTATACTCTGGCTCTCACCTGCCTTAGTTATACTGCAGGATGACACCTATGCATCCCCGGTTTCAGATTTCCCCCCAGAAATGTATGTTGTGTACTGCCCAGCCCTCTCATGGACAGTACAATATTTTTATGCCATTATTCATTCAAGGGAATAATATGCCATTTTATTATCTTAAATAGTTATTCAGACACTTCAGTTGAAGCACAATGGATTAGATAAAACAGCAAAACAAGTTTTATTAACTACAAAGCGATTTTAAATGGGCACAAGTAATGAGGCATATAAGTTATAAATGGTTATAAAAATAATAAAACATTTACTTATGCCTAATTTAACAAACTATATTAGATTAAAGCAGTTTCTCACCATATGTTTCAGTAGATTACTGACCACACTTTCTGGTCAGGATTTCTCCTCCTCCAATGACTGCTTCCTTTGTCTCTTCAGATGCAGTGCATGTGATGGGCAGGGAGAGAAAGAGGGGTCCCTTAGGTCCCTTTTTATAGTTTCAGTCCCCTTCTTGAAAAACATTTGCGGTTGAGAACCAGTCTATGTGGAAGGATATTCCCTGCTGGTTTTCTTCACCTGTTTGAGTTTCCTTTGTCTTCCCTTCCTACTTGATGATACTGTTTACTGTTTAAATGCAAATTAAGCAGAGCACACATTCCTTTGTTTAGGACAGACATGTTTGCTAACCTCTGTTTGGGCAGGGCTGGGGGATTTGGAACATGTGTTAATAACACCATGCAGGGGAATCTTATAACGTCACATACAATTTTGTCATACATATTTTACCACAACAATACTGACCAGTAAATTGTGAGTTTTCAAATGATACCTTACAAGGCATACTTTGTGCAAAGATTATTACAATAGAATGTAGGGTGTGAATACAGGGGTGTGTTCTGTCACACTTACCTGTACAGTAGCAATTGTTCTTTGAGCTGTGTTGGGCACACATACATTCCTTGACTCTCCCACCTTCTCCTCTACTTTGGATCTTCATTGGATGACAGTATGAAGGAATGGAAAAGGAGGCAGTGGCCGTACCCCTTTATACTCTCAGCTCCATGCTCAAGAACAGGGGAGCACATGCTGCTTGCTAGTTCTGCTGGCAAAAGCCTCCAACTCAAGCCTCCGACTCAAGAACATTGGGTGCACATGCAACCACCATAGACTGTATATGGGCATAGTATCAGAGGGGTAGCCATGTTAGTCTGGATCTGTAAAAAGCGACAAAGAGTCCTGTGGCACCTTATAACTAACAGACGTATTGGAGCATAAGCTTTCGTCAGCATGCGTCTGACGAAGTGGGTATTCACCCACGAAAGCTTATGCTCCAATGCGTCTGTTAGTCTATAAGGTGCCACAGGACTCTGTGTATGGGCATAATCACTTGAAGAATAAGTACAGGTTAATAACCATTTTTTGAACAAAAAATTAAGTCTAGCTGGGTTGGCATATTGGCCAGTCAAAGAGTAGTTCATTAATCTGTTAGAAAGAGCAGTGTGATCCTGGCAAGAAAACTACATTAGAAACAGCACTTTTTTGTGTTTTACACCAATATAATTGAAAAACTCTGTCTATACAAAACCACTGAGATGTAGCTATCTCAGGGATGGAGGGCAATACAAAGACTGAGACCTGACACATAGCACACTGAACTGCATATACCTTTCTTGCAAAAGGAGTGTAGGTTGTCCTAACAGAGATGTATTTTGAGAGTGATTGTTCTTTCATGCAATGTTGCTTGCACAAAGTTGTTGGAGCAGCATTTTATCATACT